AAAAAAAAAAAAAAAAAAAAAAAAAAAAAAAAAGGAATATTTAGATTAAAAGGCCCACCAAGTACCAAGCTGGAAAAATGAGATACACACACACACACACACGCACACACACACACACAGAGAGAGAGAAGAGCAGGAAGGCGAGAAGTAGACGAGTGTGTTTTAAAGTGTGTTAAAGAGTAGAAACTCTGCTTGGCAGCTGGATGTATGGAGTCGAAGCCCAAGATAGTGTTCAGGGCTGGAAAGAGACTTGAGAATCATCAAAGGACCTTTGGAGAGAAAGAGAAGAGAGGGGCAAAAGACAGAACAGAAAAGGAAAGGAGAGAGCTGATGAGGGAACCCAGGAAAGACAGATAATACAGCTGGAACACTTCTTGGCTCCCATGGGAGGTTTCTCAGTCTCTGTATTCCAGGGAGAATCAATTGCCCCCTTTCTACCCCCTGCCACCCTGGGCTCCCATGGGCTGGACTGGCCTCTCCGTTAAAGCATAATCCATCTGCCTGGGAGATGGGCTTGTGGCTGACAAGGGTGAAAATTGCTGACAGGATTAGGATGGTGGCTCTGCTACTCAAATTAGTCCATTTTCAGGTGGAAATCAAATATTTTTTTTCTCACCGAAACAACCTGCCTCTCCACTGAAGCAGCTCATTCCCAACCACTTAGAAGCAAACAGCGCGTCTAATGGCGGAAGATAACACACCTAATGGAGGGTTTCAGCATCGGGCCCCACCCCCTGCTTGGTTTGCTTGCCAGGTGATGGGGGTGGGGGGCAGCTGCAGGGAGGAAGGAGGAGAGAGAATAAGGGGGGAGGTAAGAGAAATGAGGGGTGAAGATCGGTCTTTAGTGTCACCTGGCTTGCAGCAGAGGGGACCTTGACCCATACGGGATGCCAGCTGAGTTCCTGAGAAGGCAAAGGAGTTGGAAAATGCAGAAAGTTTAGAGAACTGGGATGTTCCTTCTCCCAGAGTGAAGGCTGTTCCTCCTGCTTCTGTCTCCCTGGAGTGGTGTACTTTGGAGCTGGAAGCCCCTCTAGGGTGCACAGATGAATTGACTTTTGGACTTGAAGGTAGCTAATGATTAGAAATATCTCTGTATATTCTCTGCTTTTGCCATTTTGTGTGTATCATGCAGGGGAAGAGACCCGTATGTGTGTATTTCAATGTTTTGCTCTCTCTCTTTACACACACACACACACACACACACACACACACTTCTTTTTTTTCCTTTTTCTTCCTTTTTTTTTGGACAGAGTCTCCCTCTGTCACTCAGGCTGGAGTGCAATGGCATGGTCTCGGCTCACTGCCGCCTCCGCCTCCCAGGCTGAAGCAATTCGTGCCTCAGCCTCCCGAGTAGCTGGGATTACATGCCTGGCTACTTTTTGTATTTTTAGTAGAGATGGGGCTTTGCCATGTTGGTCAGGCTGGTCTCAAACTCCTGACCTCAAGTAATCCAGTCACCTTGGCCTCCCAAAGTGCTGGAATTACAGAGTGAGGCACCGCACAATTTCTTGATGACCATGCTGCATTTATTCTTCCTCTTTCTCAGCTCTCCCAACCTCTGCCCCCAAGATCACCCAATCATGTGCCATATACCAGGTTTGATTCCTTCTTTCCTTTGAGGCCTTGTAGAGGGGCCAGGAATAAAAGCCTCAGCAAGGAGGGAACGAGGGGAACACAAGGAGCAGCCAATGGGTAGTTTTCCCTGGTCAGGAGAGGAGCCAGATGTCATCTGCCTGGGTGACCAGAGACGCCCGTACCCTGACAGCTCTGGGAGTGGGGTGTCCACCCAAACAGCTGCAGAATGAATGCCAGTGTATTGTCCTCACCCCAGTAGCAGGCCAGCTCCCCCGCAGATGAGCCTTGCAGAAAAGAAAGCACCTCGCTAGCTTGCTGTTGCTGCCGCCGCCGCCGCCACTTTGTTATGAGGGTTAGTGACTGTCCATTAACTCCAGAGAGCTGATTCTTGCCAGTGCTGCACCAACAGCTGGGAGCCAGAAAGCGATGACGTGAGGAGGGGGGACTTGTCCCCCACCCTGGCTAGACACTTACAGCATAATTCGGGGAGATCACTGGCATGGCTTACTCAGCTCTACCAAAATGCCAATTAGCTAAGGTTTTTCTGAGCATTGGCTGGGCCTGCCACAGTTGAGAGAAATTATTATCAGAGAAACTCATTTTGTTATGTATATGTATCACACATATAAATTCTCTGTAGGGATGGATCTTTCCTGCTTGTCCCCTCCTCTGGTCTTCCTAGGAGGGAGATCACAGCCAGGCAGGTCCATGGTAGGAGATGGCCAAGGATGGGGTCCCTGGTCCTTACTCACAAGAGATGGTGTTGGTGGTGGTGGCAGGGATGATGGAGTGGTGGTTCCCGGCCTCTTGGTTTGGAGGCAGGAGCCCCTCTCAGCTCAGTCACTCTGAGTCACACTCATGGTTTTCCCAGAGAAACAAAAAGAGAGGGGGTTCTTAAGGAAACATCAGAAACATAAATGGCTTTTTCTGGTTCCTATTGCTCCCTTTCACTCAATTCACAAAATCCAATTCATTACTAAAAGGCCATTAACTTGTCAAACCATGTTGATAAAGCTGGCATCCTGTATTCAAGCAGAACTGAGGGGTTTATGGGCTTAGGACAGCCTCAGAGAGCCCTACAGAATATCAGGGCTTGAAATCTTAAGTCATCTAGCCCAACTCTCTTCTTTTACAGACGAGAAAAATGAACCCCCAGAGAAGAATGGACCTGCCTTAGACCTTAGACAGAGGCAGATGTGTGACCAAAACACAGGGCTTCTGACCTCCGGTTAAGTGCTTTTATTCTGATACATTTTAACATTTCATTCCCTCATTTAATACCCGATTAGGGAGTCCTTACTATCTTCCTAGTGCTGTTGGGGAGGGGGTTGTGGAGGGAGGCAAAGAGATGAAAAGAACACAATTCCTGCTTTCAAGGAGCTGTTTCCCTAGATCTGTGGTTCTTAGGGAGAAAAAATAAAAACCTGTGAGTCAGACTCTCACCTTGTGTTATCTCCTATAGGTGATGGTGGAAGAGGAGAAGAAGGGAGGGCACACTTTTGTCTCCTAAAGATTTTTAAGTTAGGTTTCACTGATTCTGGGACCCCAGGGCAGCCAAGGACAAAGGGAGAAATGGCCAGGTTGGGAGAAGATGGGGTAGGGGTGACAATAATCAGGTCATTGCCAGCAGGCCTGGCTAGGGGTTGGGAACAGTGACAGCAGGTCACACTGGTATGGAGATGTACAGGTGGCAAGCCTCCAATCAGGTGCATTGTTTTTCAGTGGGTTCCAAGACAGTTCCCTGAGGTGGGCAGAGCAGTGACCTTATTCCCACTCTAGGGGTGAGGATAATGAGGTTGAGAGAGCTTAAGGAACTAGCCAAAGCCAGTAAACTGCCAGCACCCAGCCAGGAACTCCTACTCTAGTGCTCTTTCTATCCCTGGGGGTGGGGAAGTTGTGCTGGGTTACAGGGTGGGGGTAAAGCAGTAGAAAGCGGTGGTCAGCCACAAGGATAGGTCGTGTCTTCCTCCATGCAGTTTTATTTTGATCGCTACATTCTGCTAGTCATAGAGAACTCTGCTCTGAAGAACTAGAAGCCCTTTGCAGGCCTGAATGAGCTCATTCAGCATACTCTTGCCAGAAAGAGAGAGAACTCCAAATGGAGGCTCTGTCTAGGGTCACCAGCACATAATAGAAAACAGGACCCAGGTTCCCCGACTCTTTGCCCTCATGCGCCAAGAGATGCGAAGCAAATCAGGCCTGCTTCTGTGAGAGTCAAGAGTGTCATAGGAAAAAAAATATTGAGATATCTTCCAGGACCTCCTTCCTTCCCTGAAGAAATGGGTTAATTCATCCTAAGGGGCCTTGGCCGAAGAGTCCTTCCCTTGGCCCAAGAGCCATTTCCAGGGCAGAGAAATCTCAGAGCAGGGGGTAGCACAGCCACCCCAGTCACTCTGGTGAACAGGTTTGGGTGCGAGGAAAGGGCATCTTAGTGAAGCCTGCTCAGATTTTCTTGGTGTCGCAAAACCTTGGTGGGGACTGGGGTACCAGGGAGTCTGAGGCTCTAATCAGTATTTCTTGCCGCCAGTAGGCAGGGTGTCTAGGAGCTGCCTGAGGTCAGGGTCAAGGCCTGGTGGTGTGGGGTCACGGTGCCCAGGAACCTGTCTTGACCCCAGTTCCTCAGGGCCCTCCCAGCACCCCCAGCCTGAGGGGTGAGGGGTAGGGAGGGACGAGGTGGGAGCCTCGGCAGAGCGCGAGGTGGGAGCCTCGGCAGAGCGCAAGGTGCTGCCAGCAGAGTCAGATCCCCCAGCCCTGAGAGGGCTCCCGTGCCCTCCCCAGCTCACTCCAGGCTCCGCGCCTAGCTCTGCGCTCCCGCTGCACCCCCAGACCGCCCCTTACCTGTCCCGCCGCGGACGGTCCCGCCTCCTCCGCGGGGCTCGGGGGCTCGGCATGGGCTGGTGAGCGACGGCGCCCCCGCCTCGCGGTCGCGGTCGCGGTCGCAGTGGAGCTCCCGGGAGGGCACCCCAGCTCCCGGCCCTGCGTCCCAGAGCCGCCGCCGCTTCAGCACCGCGGACAGCTCCCGCCCGCCGCCCGCCGCCGCCGCCCGCCCCGCCCGGCGCGGTCCCGGGAGCCCCGCATCCTGGCCGGGCCCCGCCGCCGCCGCCGCCGCGCAGCCCTCGGCCCGGCCCAAGGCGGCTCTGCGCCGACTTGGGAGAGCGGCGAGGAGGATCCCCCTCCTCCCCGCTTCCCGCCGCCGCCGCCTCCTTCTCGCTTCTGTGCTCCGTGCTCCCTTCCACGCTCCGGAATCAGCCCACCAGGCACTCCGGACCCGGCTCCCGGGCGGGGCGGGGCGGGAAGTCGGGGGAGCCCAGAGGAGGCGGCGAAGCGAGGGGGCGCAGCTGGAACCCGCATACCCGCTTCCTGGAGCCGAGCCCTCTTTCCCAGCCCTCTCTCCACTCCTCCCGCGCACCCCAGAGCGATGGGAGGCCCTTGGGCTTCTTGAAGCATTTTGGAGCTCTTAGGCTCCCAAGCCAGTCCTGAGTTTTTAACATTGATCTGTCCTAAAAAGAAAAACAAACAGCATTTATTGAGCACCTACTATATACCAGACATCACGCCGGCTGTGTTTCATCAACATAAGCTCATTTAATTTTCTTAACAACTCTATTAGGCAATATAGCCCCCTCCCCCGCGTTTCCCTTCCCTGCCCCGCCCCTCCCCCCTCCAATTTTGCAGACGAGGACGCTGGGCTCACAGAGATGAAATCTCTCATGATTTAGAGACACAGTGCTGTGCTGGGAAGTGCACAGGTTTTAAAGCCCATGGACCTAAATTTTGGTCCTAAGGTTGCATTTGCTGTATAATCTTGAGCAAGTTACTTAACCTCTTAAAGTCTCAGGTTTCTCATGGATAAAATGAGGAGTCATATGAGGACAAAATGAAATGACATATGTGACACATTGGCACTCAGTGGGCCCTCAGTGAGTGAGTGTTTCCCTGAGTTTTCCCAGCAAGAGCCCTGAGATCTGAATGCAGCCCTTTTGGCTGCTTTGTCTTCACCCCGTGCCACTGTTTACCTCCACCTCAGTTTTCTTCTTTTTTTTTCCTTTTAGCATGGGGATGCTCTATCTTGAGTGTTACCAGTAGATGAGCCTATTCTTCAAGAGCCTTCACGAGGTCTTGAGTCTCACCAAAGTCCCAAGAGGTCAGGAGGAGAGAGTATTCTCATTTTCTGAGGTAAGTGTAGGTCTGCAAAGTAAACCCTAGAGCAGGCTGCAGCTGGGGCTGGAAGGCACGAAGAACCAGGGTCGGGCAGTGGGATTCCATTAGCATCCACTAGCCTCCTAGCATCTAGCTGAGGATGCTACAGCACAAGGCATGGTGGGCTCCAGGACCCCCTCACTCCCACAGGATGTGGGCATCAGGCACAGTTCGGCATAGCTCCTAGAGTGCAGAGTAGGAGTCAGGAGGGAGTCCACACCATGGGGCTTGGTTCTTCTTCCCTTCAAGGCAGGACAGAGAACTCCCTCATCCTGTGGTCTGTCTCAGGGCTGGCATTGGTGTTTAACTTGTTGGGTGCTAAATATATTATTGCTCTTCTGGCCCCTGCCTCATTAGTGGATAATGCATTAATAAGCCCCCTGAGGCCAGGAAGGCTTTTGGATCACTCATCTGAGGCCCACACATCATCTTCACAGACACCCCCCTCCTCAACACACAGACATACAGACACACACGAGACATTGTCTTTGGTGTCAGGGCACCCTCCTGTGTCTTTGCTTTCTCTGGCCTTCCTCGCACAGGGGCTTATGGCCCCCTACTTGGCCTTGGCCTCCCTCTGCTTCTCCCCTCCCTATCCTGGCTTTGCTCCATGCCTGGGCTGCATACCGAAATACTAATTGAAAGGATAATAAAAAAGCCAGTGAAGCAAAAGCCGCATATAAATTCTAAATACTAATGTTGATAATTATACACTGCTGCCTGGAGGGAAAATTCAAAGAGAGGCTGTTGGTGTTGTGTCAAGGGCCCTGGCCTGGTGTCAGGAGACCCAGGTTCTAGTCTCGCCTTTGTCATTAATTGGCTGTGTGACCTTAGGCAGTCGTCTCATCTTCCTGGGCCTTTGCTTTCTTAGAATTCAGTAACTTTGAAGAAACTATAAGTGCAGTCAGCAATGTTTGATGCTTGTGACAGAGAATAGTGGGTAATGCAGTGATCAAAATTTCTTCAGGGAAATTCTTTACCTCTCACCAGGTATACGGGTGGCCCAGGGACTGAAGAATCTATAACCATGCAAAGTTTCCATTCTTTTTCCATTCCCTCTCTTAATCCCTCCCTTCCTTTTTCCATCAAGCATTTCCTGCTGTGTAATGAAAATCAACCCCTCTGTTAGACACCACGAATGGAAAGCATAAACTATTGTCCGGGCCTTTGAAAGAGCTGTGGTGGAGGGTGATGAGATCGATAGACATGTCGGTCAGCAATTTCAACACATGGTGATAAATGCTGTCATGGAGTAAGTGAAGAGTGCCAGAGAAGGAAACAGCTTGCCCTGCCTGGGGAAGTCCCAGGAGACTTCCTGGAGAAGGTCTGAGTTTTATTAAAGGAGGAGACAGTCACCAGGCAGGCCATGGGAGGAGGCGATTGTTGGTAGGAAGGCCGGAGTGAAGAGCAGAGCCTGGAGAACTGTTGAGGAGGCTCTACTGGAGCCCAGGAAAGAGGTGGTGAGAACTTGAGCAAGGCAGAGTCAGCAGGATGGGAGCAGGGAAGGGATTTAAGACACTGCTGGGTGAGAACAGAGAGGAGAGATTGGTTGTGGGGAAGACAGCAAGACCTCAAGGGTAACGCTGGGAACTCCTGCTTCTGGGAAGCTGATGCTTTTTACCAGGGGGGTATCAGGAGGGGAGCTAACTGCTTATCCTGGGTAATGCTGCTGAGTGCTATAGCCCCTCAGTTTCTAGCTACTCTCTCTCTCTCTTTTTAAAGTTTTATTTTCCCTTTGGTTCCTAGAAAATTTTATTTATTTATTTATTTTATATTTTTTTGAGATGGAGTCTTGCTCTGTTGCCTAGGTGGAGTGCAGTGGCATGGTCTTGGCTTACCATAAACTCTGCTTCCTGGGTTCCAGTGATTCTCCCACCTCAGCCTTCGAATAGCTGGCATTACAGGTGCCTACCACCATGCTTGGCTAATTTTTTTTTGTACTTTGAGTAGAGTCGGGGTTTCACCCTGTTGGTCAGGCTGGTTTCGAACTCCTGACCTTGTGATCCACCTGTGGCCTCATCAGCCTCCCAATGTGTTGGGATTACAGGCATGAGCCACTGCACTCAGCCTTTGTTCCTAGAAAATTTTCTTAAGCGGAAAAGGCTCCTCCTATCTTACCTTGATTATCTTAATGGAAAAGGGAAAGGCTCAGGCTTGGGCCAGGAGAGCTGAGTGGGGCAGGGCAGCCCTGGACGCTCACCTGGAGGTAGCAGGCATCCTTGCTGGGACCAGGGTGAGGACCACAGGTAAGGGACAGAGTAGGCACTGGCTGAAAACCTGGAAGGAGATGCCCTTGGGTCCTCTTCTCCTCCCACCTCTCTGACATTCCACAAGTGAAATCCAACACAGGAGGGTTCTGTTTTAGTTGGAGTCAGCTCCAGCTGCTAATCTCTTCCCACCTGGAGACTTCCCTTCGTTAGCTTTTTCATGCAGAAACTCTTAGTTCTTTTTACAAGGGGTTGATTGCCTCACAGTGTTCCCAGGGGAACGTAAATCAGCACCAAGCATAGAGAGATCTGCCCCACTGCTACTTCAATAGGCCACGCATTGGAAAAGGTGCTCCCTATAATAAGAGGACAGGCGAGCCCCACCCCTGGCCTAGTGACCCCTCTACTTCAGAGTTGAGCTCATGCCCAAGGCCATATGGCTGTGATCCACAAAGCCCTGGCTAAAGGAGGATTGTCTGGTAAAGCACAGGGACAGGTGGGCCTTTGGACTGCCCATCAGCCAAATCCTGCTCTCATGGATATGGCTCCAGAATGACACAGTTCCAAGGAAGGGTGCATATATGGCTGTAAGCAAATAGCAGAAACAAATTCTTGACTCTTAATGCAAGAGAGACCCTGGAAACCCTCAATGCTTCTGAGTCAGGCCCTTTGGCTAGAGGCAGACCCCCAGCAATGGAATCTAGAGTTGTCTGTCTTTTAAACTTCTCATCTGGGGGGCTTTGGAGGTACATTACCACAGCTGCTCACTTCTTCTCTCCATAGGAGATTGCAAAACTGAAGATCAAGCCATTTCTTTAGAAACACACTGATTCATGCCAAGGAAAGAAGATGATGAGAGTTCTTAGCACCAGTCCCGCTCTCTGCTCTCCTGCCAGGCACACACTCACTTAAGCCTGGGGAGGAGAGTGGGTGAGTTACTGCAAATTTGAGAGGCAGGACCAGAGCATAAGGTGGAGGAACCCAGCCACCGCAGACTGCACAGCTCTGAACTCCAGCAGCTCTAACTCTGGCATCCACAGGCTGCTCGGGCATGGGAACATTTGCACCCTGGCAGAGAAACCTACAGTCTTGGCACTTTCCCACTTTGCTGGAGCAGGGATGAGTGAGTGTACATGTGTGAGAGGTTGGGAGTGCTGGGGTGGGCTTATCAACAGTGGCAAGCAAGCAGACAGCAGCGTTCTTTTTCACCCGATATGGTGACAAAATGAAAATGAGTGGAAGAATAAGCATTCCTTTTTTTTTTTTTGAGTCAGAGTCTCACTCTGTTACCCAGGCTGGAGTGCAATGGCGTGATCTCAGCTCACTGCAACCTCTGCCCCCTGAGTTCAAGTGATTCTCCTGCCTCAGCCTCCTGAGGAGCTGGGATTATAGGCACCTGCCACCATGCCCAGCTAATTTTTGTATTTTTAGTAGAGACAAGGTTTCATCAGGTTGGCCAGGCTGGTCTCAAACTCCTGACCTCATGATCCACTTGCCTCAGCCTCCCAAAGTGCTGGGAGTATAGGCGTGAGCTACCATGCCAGGCTATCTAATTTTATTCTTATAAACATGTATCATTCCCAGT